TTTTGGTACGAATTTCATCAACCAATGCTGACCTCGTGGATTTTAGTTTTTTCTTCTCTCTTTTAAAAATATTAAGTCATTATAATTTTAGGTGGATATTGAAGACAACCATCTTAGGATTTTACATTTTTTTTATAACTACTACTTACTAGGTGGATTTAAAATTTGAGTGTAAACGATTTTTTTTTCTTTCGGAAAAACAATTTCTTTTAACTTTTTACAATAATGTATTTTTGCTTTGTTTAATGATTTTGACGGTTACCGTTGCACTGTGAAGTTTATCTATATGTAAGCTTGTTGTATAATATGTATTTTACAACATATAAGTCTCTAAATTTTTGTAAAATTATGAAATTGGATATCAAACTTAACAGATAAACTCTAAATACCTATATATATCCCCTTAAAGTTTTGTTGCATGAAGGCATATTTTTTTGATAATGACATTGATGTTTAGATTTCTTGTATTGATACCAACATATTTTTCTCCTCGTCATAATGGTCAGGTGAAAAAAAATAATTACCAACATATTCTCAATAGTCAATATTGTACAAGCATTGCAGTTTCAAGCTCACTTAGGGTGAGTGTATTTTGACGACAATATATATCATAATTCTATGCCAACCAATTTTATTTTTTTTGTTGGTTGCTTAATTTTAAGCGTTTGGATATTTGTGTTATGTTTGTCATGTGCCTTATGACAAGAATAAATTTAATCCCTAGAGCAAGAAATTTGTATTTGTAGGTTATGTTAGGAATCTCCCAATATCTTACGGTGAAAACTATCACTGCAAATCCCAGATATATTATATTGGATCGTCGAGGAATGAAAAAGGAATTAATGCACATTCGATATGGGATTGATGGTATTCCTCAGTCAAATCACTAGAGTGCCGAATCCTTTTGTGGAAGTTCTCTCTTGATGGGGAGGAGAAAATCATCTAACTTATTTGACATATTGGGACCATAACCCTTTTCCTAATTCCTTATCATTGAGCCCACCAGACTCCCATTATACCTTGTTGGACCAATGTGAGTATCCACTCATTTAACTCATACTCATTTTGAAATCTAATTGGGTTCCTTAATAGATCACTTAATTCACCCAATAATTAAATAGCAAGATATAATTGATAATTAAATATGAAGCCTACAATAATGTAGAAAATGAAATTTTCTAACAATCTCCCACTTGGGCTACATATGAACCTGAAACAACTATATCATATGTTCTTTAACGCGCATCTGTATGCTATTTATCTTTAGATTTCACTTTAGGTACGATCTGGTCTAAGTTAGGAAAACTATGACAAGAGATGAAAAACTAATGAAAAGCATAAAAAATGAAGTAACTGGTCTCCATGGTAAAGCCTTGACCGTTTCTCTGCCTTCTCCACTCCCAAAGACTGTTGTTCTGCCTCCAAAGTCGTCCGAGAATCATCCCAAAAGTCCTTCAAAAGCCCTAGCTTGTGCCTTTTAAAACAAGAAGATCCATAAGTCTTATTTACAACGTTGCTTGTTGGTTTCCTCGCTACAGCGAGCAAACTAGCGAGTTATTTGTGAAATTCTGCTCTTTCTCGCTCTAGCAAGCATTCCAGCAAGATGTTCTAAGAAAATTGGTTCAACTTGTTGGTTTGCTCGCTATAGCGAGCAACTCTGACAACAAAAATATGATTTCATATTTTAGGCATAACTTGAGTTATACTTGTCCAATTGATATAATATTGGTCTCGTTGGAAAGACAAAAAGAAAGATCTACAACTTTTATGAAGAATACAAGACCCAAATACATCATCTTCAAAATGAAAAATTAGCCGAAAGATAGCTTCAATAAGATTTTCACTAAATGGTTGCTCCTCATTTATTGCGTTAAGTCTTTTTAACTTAATCATTGCTCCAATGCTTTAATTCAACTCAATTGTCCTACAAAATAAGCAAAATTCATTCACATAAGTCAAAAATTTAAACTTCATGTTTTTTAGCCAAATAATTCTAAGTTTTCGTACTTTTGACTAAATATAAGAATAATTTAAGTCCTTGAAAACATGATAAATTGTGAGTTTATCGATGGGAAGCCAACCAACTATTAGTAATGGAGGGAGTAGATATTAATGTTTCAAAGATGGATGTGGATTTCTTCTTCCAATTATCGAGCTATAACATCTTTGGTGAACTTTGACTACTTTCAAAGATGTTTCGCAAAGTAGTCAATTTGAGAATATTTTCATTTAACAGAAAATAATGGAAGAAAAATGAATAAGAAAAAAAAGAAGAGAAACACTTTCATTTTGAATTTTAATGATTACCCCATCTAATTTGTACATTAAAAATAGATTATTGCTTGGTGTAGGAAAGGCTTTTCCCACAAATTCATTCTTGATTTTAAAAAAATGAGAGAAAACATTGTGAATTAAAATAAAAAATAATATAAAATTATAAAATTTGCTGACATGTACTAGTGGACATACATAGAAAGTCCCTGTATTTAATTGCTTTGGTTTACGTCATGTATATTATTCGAGATAAACAATATTTTATTTTTCTTGTCTCTTTTTTTATATAGAGAAATATTTATAAATATTTTGGTTTAATATTTCTAGGGAAAGGTTATAGTTATTACCTTTTTTTTCTTACTACTTGTTACTATCAAATTTTAAGCGTTGATTTTCGCCAATCTAACGGTTATAATTTATTGGGTGATATTTATTAATTAATTATTAATTCTAATAAATTATAACCGTTAGATTGACGAAAATCAATGGTTAAAATTTGCTAGTAACAAGAAGTAAGAAAAAAAGTAATAACTATAACCTCTCCCATATTTCTAATAGAGGTAGGATCCTTTGACACCAGTGTCAAATTTAAAATTTGACACCTCATCTGAGAGCCATTAGATCAAAAAAGATTAACGGCTCTGATTTGTAAGCATATGACACCATTGATCTTTTTTGATCTAACGACTCTCAGATGAAGTGTCAAATTTAAAATTTGACACCGGTGTCAAAGGATCCTGCCTCTTTCTAATATTGTCAAAGACAAAATTATCTTATACAAAAAAAAAAAAAGTATGCGAAATTTATATGAGGCCATGCAAGGAAAAAAAAAATTAGATCCCACATATATTTTTACATGTATCCTACAACATGAAAGAAATCAAATCCTAAATCTTTGCAAAACTTTTACTTTTTCAATCGATTGGCCAGAACATTCTCATTTCTCAATATGGTTCTTATGTAATAGTAAATAGCTATTGTAAGAAGTATTAAACTTCAATGAATTTAATTAAAATGTAAAAGTAAAATCATATGTTAACTTATGAATAAAAGAACGAATCAAATTTATATCAATTTAAAATATATATTTAATTATTTAATTAATAAAAGAATGAAATATAATCGAGTAAATTAATAGTTAACAAAATTAATACATTAAAAATTCAAATTGAAAATTTCCTATTGCTAATTTACAGTAATAAGCTGACTGATTAAAAAATTTGATCATATCAAGGACAATTTGAAAAAATGCAAACCTATTGATTAGTTTAAAAAATTTGTAGTGTCTAACAAATGTTTCAAATTTGCCTGTCCCATAAAAAAATAGTTCAATAGTTATGAATTTCCTACCATAAAAAATAAATTTAGACAAATAAACAATTAAATTCTCTTGAATATATTTCTTTTGTGGTTAAATTTATACGAAAAATATTTTTTACTCACAAAATTCACTTATTATACACATTTAAAATATATGTATTCACCTTTAATTTTTGAATAGTATCACATCAATCTTTACATAAACTTAAATATAATTTAATCAGTTTAGATATTTAGTATCTTTTTAAGAAAAATGTTCGTATAATTTCTTATTTGATATGAACAAAATATAATATTGTATTAATGTTATTATTATTATTATTATTATTATTATTGTTATTATTAATGCTATTATTATTTATTATTATTATTATGGGAAAAAAGTTTTCGATGTTACTTTAGATAACTTTATCTAACGTTTATCGAAACGACGTCATTTTGAGTTTAAAAAATTAGAGTGATAAAGACTATTATAACCCTGAAATAAATTAAAATTACAAAAATATCATGATTTCCGTCCCAAAACGATGTTGTTTTGATGAACATTAGATAAAGTTATTTAAAGTAACATCAGAAAAAATAAACCAATTATTATAACAGTAAAGTAGTCGAAAGCTCGGAGCAAAAATAGTCAATTAGAACTCACCACGCGTATTCTACACGTCTATGATAGTAGCATAGTAAAAGTCATCATTAGCACTTATTACAATAACTCTTAACTCTTGAGTAATAAATAAATTTGAGTTAAACAAGAAAAATATTTTATAATATTAATTAGAAGAAGATGTCCATAAACACACATTTATGAAAAAAATATTTTTATTAACTTGAAGGGAAATAGTTTTATAATCATGCCTTAAAAACATAAAAAATCTCTTAAAAATAGATATTATCATATTAATTAGAAGAAGATGTTCATAAATAGTAAATACACATTCGTGAAAAAATATTTTTGTTAACTTGAAGGGAAGTAGTTTTATAATCATGCCTTAAAAACATAAAAAAATCTTTTAAAAATAGTTAAATATATATATATGTATATATATATATATATATTAAGGGCTTAACATTTCTGCAGCAGCCGAAGATAGTGTTATCTGCAGCTGACACAGAAAAGTGGGCCCCACGACTTAAAAAAAAAAAAAAAAAAAACTCAGGATCCGTTGCCGTATCCTAAGATTCGGATGCGGATCTTTGCTTGCTGTAAGTACAGCAGCTGCAGAAATCATTTTGCTATATATTAATTATTACTATTTTATTCTTATTTTTTATTTTTTTCATCCTTTTATATCTTTTATTTGAATTTATCTACACCAACCTCAATTAATACCACCAACCTCAATTAATTTGAGATAAATATATTATTATATCGATATGGAAACGATAAACCCTGATTATAAATAGTTATGGAACGTTCTGTGAGGCCGTTCATTAGCAAAATCATCAACATGTCTTCGGAAGTAGTGGAAGAGGGAATGGAGAACAAGAAAAATACAGAGAAAAACCATAAGGGAGTTTCTGATCATCATCATGGGGTCACGGGGAGGAAGCCTTCATCACAAAAGTTGAGAAGATATGATTCCTTGGACATTGAATCCCGCAAGTTTTCTACTTCCACTCATGCCTCTAAGGTATCAATCTATACTTCCTTTTTCCTTTTTCATCTTTCATCTTTCATCTTTCACACACATACCATCCAACATTTCGTCCCTTACAATTCCCCAACTTCCTTAGAAAAAATGATATACCAAGCATTATTATTAATTACCCCTTACACGCTCATTCTTCACTCCCTATTACATGATATAACACATTATGCAAAATCACCCATACCACCTCACACCTTCTAGAACCTTACACAAGTACACAACCAATTATATAAGTCAAGATTATGCTCCATGACAAGGAACTTTTGAACAATTCATTCATTGCACTCTCATTCTATACTTGAGCACTAATCACACACCACAATTTTTTCTTTCGAATATACTGAGGAAATTACCATTCAACACCCTTTTTCTTAGTGTTCATGTTTCATGGAAATTTATTTTATAAAATAGACGGACCTTATTCGTGACCTTTGAATTTCACTTTTCCATTTACATAATTAAAATGTTTTTCTTTTTTGTTGTTATTTTGCAATCGTACAAATGTTTTTTTAGGGGCCCTCGATGTCAGTGATTATGAAACTAGCTTTTCAAAGCCTCGGAATTGTGTATGGAGACTTAGGAACATCACCTTTGTATGTGTATCCAAGTGTCTTCCCGGATGGGATAAAGAACAACGACGACATTTTGGGTGTTCTTTCTTTGATCTTTTATACCATCACTCTCATTACTCTTGTTAAGTATGGATTCATTGTCTTACGAGCAACCGACAACGGCGATGGTACGCATCATCATATTCAACCCTCTCATTCCTTTAATTGATTTTCTTACATTTCTCTGCACGAAATTTTAAGACCTCAGCCAAAAAGATAAGAGCTATTTACATATAAGTATCTTATAGATGTATGAAAAGGTCTATTTTTTAACCTTTTTGTCTTGAAATCTTATTTAAAGATATATCAATTCCTGTAAATTGGCTAATAACTGGGAAACTATTACACGAATCATTAAAACTACTAGCTAATGATTAACTAAACAATGACATTTGCAAACAAGGCAACATGAAAGAAATACTCTGTGCTATTTTTATTTTTATTTTTAATTTCACATGTAAGAATATTTATAATTTGTGTTGGACATATTTTAGGTGGGACTTTCGCTTTATACTCTCTGATATGTCGTTATGCCAAAGTGGGACTTATTCCAAATCAACAAATTGAAGATGCAGAAGTGTCTAATTATCAGCTAGATTTGCCTAAAAATAACCGTATGAAGATGTCTTCAAGTCTCAAGTCCACGCTTGAGAACAGCCACTTTGCCAAGCTCTTCCTCTTGCTAGTTACCATGCTTGGCACATCCATGCTCATTGGGGATGGGATCCTCACTCCTTGCATATCAGGTTATTCTAATTTTATTTATTCTAATCCAATGTTATTTTGTTAATTTTTTTATTTTCCATGTAACCATTTGATTTATGTTCACAGAGTCGAACATCTGAAATAAGTAACATTTTCTTTGGTTTGCAGTTTTATCCGCTGTGGTAGGGATCAAGGAAGCTGCTCCTTCGATGACTAACGGTAGGTATATTGTACTCATTTTAATTTTGTTTTGCACTTGATAACAGAGTATTGAAAGAAATTGGTTGAGATATATAAAATCATTAATGTAGTCTTACCCAAACTTAAACTTTTGGGTTGAATTGGTTCTTTACATTGTATCAGAGCCTCGGTGTACCGGGTTCGATTCTCACCGCCTCCCACTTTCTTTCTAGTGTAATTTCTTTCTTCCTACAAGTAGGTGGGACCGTGCATTGTCCATCCTTCAAGTCTAGTGAGCTCTCGTGTGAGAGAGCGTGTTGAGATATATAAAATCATTAATGTAGCCTCACCCAAAAGTTTAAACTTTTGGGTTGAATTGGTTCTTTATAAAATTAAGGGAAAAAAAAAGGCAGGGCTCTGAGACAAAGCTGAATTGTCTTTGCAGTTTGGAATGATATGGTAATATAACAAGGACCATTATTAGAGAAACCAGAAAAATTCATTCCTCACAGATTATGTTCTATTATCAAGTCTTCAAATAATTAACTATATATCATAAGTGCAGAAATATATTTCATACTTATTACAACTGTAAATAAGCTAATTCGTTTGTTTGTGCATAGATCGGGTTGTTGGGATATCCATAGCCATCCTGATATGTCTTTTCATGGTTCAAAGATTCGGAACTCATAAAGTAGGCTACACTTTTGCTCCTATTCTTAGTGTGTGGTTCATCTTTATCGGAGGCATTGGTGTTTACAATTTCATCAAGTACGATCCAACAGTAATCAAGGCTTTAAATCCAAAATACATTGTAGATTATTTCATCAGGAACAAAAAAGATGCTTGGATTTCTCTTGGTGGAATTGTGCTGTGCACAACAGGTTCACATTTATTTACTTTTATTGTATATAACTCCTTTTCACTATGAAACTTTTGTTGGCCATCGCTCTAGACTTGATGGGGGGAAAATTGCAGGAACTGAAGCAATGTTTGCTGATGTTGGACATTTCACAGTCCGGTCCATACAAATAAGCATATGCTCTGTGATATACCCTGCTATCATGCTTGCCTACACGGGACAATCCTCCTTTCTTCGCAAAAATAACGATCTTGTTTCAGACACTTTCTACAAGTCCATACCACGTAATTCAATTTTACCCATTAAAGTTATAACTATGAACATATAAAGCCAATCCCATAAGTCCAAGAAGAAAACAAAACTATTTTGTATTATAGCAACTAAAATGATGGTTTCATATTTTGCAGGTCCTTTATTTTGGCCAATGTTTGTTGTTGCTGTTTTGGCATCAATCATAGCTTCTCAATCCTTAATCTCTGGGACTTTTGCTATCATTCAACAATCCCTCTCACTTGGATGTTTTCCTCGTGTGAAAATAGTACATACATCAGCCAAGTATGAAGGACAAGTTTACATCCCCGAAGTTAATTACATTCTCATGCTTTTATGCATTGTAGTCACTGCTGTATTTAAAACTACCACAGAAATTGGCAATGCTTTTGGTAATCTAATATCTTCAACTCTTAAACTAGTCTTTGCATAACAATCTAAACTACGCATAGTTAATGATTAAAAAATTCTGAAAATTGAAAATTCTGAACGGATAAATTTGTGGATGCAGGGATAGCAGTGGTGTTTGTAATGACACTTACATCTGCTTTGCTTGTTCTGATCATGATTATGATATGGAAGACACACATACTTTTGGTTATCACCTATGTTCTTATTATCGGTTCTGTTGAGCTTGTCTACTTAAGCTCGTGTCTATACAAATTCAAAGAAGGAGGGTATCTTCCTCTTGCCTTTGCTGCTGTTCTAATGACCATCATGTACGTTTGGAATAATGTGTATCGAAGGAAGTACTATTATGAATTGGAACAAAAGGTTTCTCCAGAGAAGCTTAAGGAGATTACTTCTAGCACAAACTTACTTCGATTGCCTGGCCTTGCCATGTTCTATTCTGAGCTTGTTCAAGGCATCCCACCCATTTTCAAGCATTATGTGGCAAATTTTCCTGCTTTGCACTCTGTCATTGTCTTTGTTTCCATCAAATCCTTGCCTATTAGCAAAGTTCCTATGGAAGAGAGATTTCTTTTTCGTCGAGTAGAACATGAACTCCTCAATGTATTCCGATGTGTTGCTAGATATGGATACACTGATGTGCGATCCGAGCAAGAACCTTTTGAAGATGTGCTTTTTAAAAGGTTGAAGGCATTTATTGCTGACGAATTTCTGGCATCCCAAAGAGTACGACAGAGTGATAAAACTGAAGAAAAAATGAGTGTTGTTGGTGATGAGAATGATGAACTACAAGAGGCTGGTAATAAAGAGAGACTGTTGCAAGAGGCCATTGAAAAAGAGATGGATACAATTGAAAAAGCATTAAGTGCAGGCATTGTTCACTTGATTGGTGAGAGTGAGGTGGTTGCTAGCAAAGGATCTGGCATAGGGAAAAGGATTCTGATAGATTATGCTTACAATTTTATGATGAAGAACTTGAGGCAATGTGAGAAAGTGTTTGATATTCCTCATAAGCGTATGGTCAAAGTGGGAATGACTTATGAACTTTAAATAACAAAACAGTGCACAAATACTTCAAGAAGAAAGAGAGAATATGAACAGAGATAAACTCCGAGGATGCTTGTTGATTAGTGCTCGAAAATGAAGGGATCGAGCAATTTCCGTAGATCTACTTGCTCGGGAAAATAAAAAATAATAGTTGTTGTAACTTAAGGGTGGGTTTGGTACAAGAGAAATTTTTTGGTGACCGGGAATCATGATTGATGGGAATACAGTAGAAATTGAGTTTACTTGGAATCTTACGAAAGAGGTGTTTGGTTCGCCAAAATATTACCGGGAATATTGGGTAAAAATTACTGATTTCATATTTGGTTTAGAACGAAATATGACTTGGAATATGAGGTTATTTTATTTTTACTTTTGTAATTGATAGATCGGGTCTAGATTTTTATGTGTATTGGGGTATTTTTGTCTCAAAATTTATTGTTGTGCTTTCCCTTTACGTGGTATTTTGATTGGTATTCCGAATTACCATATTATTTTTGGTAATCTGAATAGTGACTTTTCTTTATAAATTAAATTACCGGTAATCCTTGGATATCCGGGAATCGTAATTTATTCCTCCTACCAAACGTGGTAATTACATTTACCAAAGAAGGATTACCGGTAATCCTCTCCAAAAACTTGAAACAAACACCCCCTAATTTTGTTTGGGAAAAATAACACAAATTTCTCTTCTGTGAACCAGTTATGAAAAGTTGAACTCAAGCAAAATAGATATACCAATAACAACTAGGGGAAAGTACTTCTTATGTGACTCCATAAGGGAAAACTTGCAGCAACACAGAATACGCGTCCGAATCTTGGTTTTTTTTTTTTTGTTTTTGATAGAATCCGCACGTGTATCCTAGGATCCGCACGTGTATCTTAGTGTTAAAAATTTGCTGCAACTTTTCTCATCAGCAGTCACATGAGAGGCGACGGACCCTAACAACTATGCAAGAACCAAATTCAAAGCAACACAAGATCATTTTAACAAGAAAAATCTCCTTAATGTAAGGAGTAAAAGCTAGCGACGATAGTAGGGATGGACATGGGTCGACCCGAACTGAATTTTTTGCAAAATCAAACCGAACCTTTTTTTTTATTTTTTTAAATTGAACTGGTTCGACCCAAATCAAATATGAACTAGTTTTGAACTAGTTCCAAACTAGAACCTTTTTTGAACCATTTCCGAACTAGTTTCAAATCATTTCCGAACCTTTCAATTGAAAAAAATTTGGTTCGAAGAACCGAACTGGTTTGTTTATTCAAATTCAAAGAATCTAACTAGTTTGTTTATTTAAAAAAAGAAAAAGAAAAAGAAAAGAAAAGAAAAGAACTATCACTTGTACTTTGGTATCATGAATATGGATGCTTTCTACAATACAAGAATAATTAAGCTTGGTAGTGTTGCTCAGATGCCACAAAAAAATTATCACAAGAATACGTAAGCTACTGTTGAAGTTTAAGGTTGGTAGCCTTGCTCATATATCCCAAAAGTATTCCAAAAGGTTCTGTAATCTTAATCTTTTCCACCTGCTTCCTACCAGCAAAGGATGCAAACCCAATATATGTTCTGGCATGAAATCGTGTCGTGTCAATATACCAACTACAGATGATCTCTGCAGTTAGCATGCATAAAACTTAAGATAAGTGAACAACAGGAAAAAAACAATGTTGAATTGGTGATGACAAACTAAATTGGTAAAGATTTAAGTAATAGCTGACAGAATAGGCTATCAAGCATAAACTTATCAATTATATTAAAATGCATTTCCATTTCCAGCTCCAATAATAACAAATGAAATCTTATGTTCATTTAGACCACCGCAGACAACTTTAATGTCTATTAATCTTCAAATCTTCAACGTGTTTTTTTGTAAATTTTCAGTCATAAAGCATAATATTGATTTATGAGAACAGACTTCACCATTAGATAATACCGAGTGCTCGAGTAACGGATAAAACCCGATTAAGATAACCATAATCTATGTAACCCCCTAACTCTTCAACTTGCCTGCGCTCTAATGGATAAAGAGGCCTGTGTCGTCACGACAGGTGTCGAAGTCCACCCAAAATCTTTAGTATCAATGTCTGTGAGATTACAAGGTTATCTGTAGTCAGCTACAAGCATCAAGAACACCAATAAACAACTAGAACAAAAGTTACACCAAAAGACAATAAATATGCACATAAATACAATTTATGTTCGAAATTAGCCATCTGAAAAATTCATTCAAAAATTTCAATGGTCAGATTAGAATAATACAAGAGAGGAACACATTTATCAAATTTGGGAATGATCTAACGATTGATAAAAAAGATCTCCCATATTGAATCTCACTGTCCAAACAGGAATAGAATATTAGTATCCTTTATTCTTAGTTGCACTATACCCTTCTGGAAGCTTGAATTAAAACTCTATATAGTGAAACTTTAGAAACATATGCTATGAAACTTTTGTCAAAATTTGCGCTTGATCCAATACCTCTCGAAAGATTGTTACCTGCTGCAGAATTCTACCCAAAAAAAATGTGTTCGGTTTAATGAAATTCTAGCACTTCTACATACCTTCAATCAATGTTGAGTATGAATGTTGATGAATACTTTAACATGCTAAAAAAATTCCAGCTGAATCTGATTCTCTGTTGGTGAACAAAGGAGATATCAAAGGTGGATGAGAATGGCTCCTTCTCTTTTTTTCTCGTGTTTTTAGACATTATGAATGCTCTCGCTCAACACCTCTTGCAATGTGGCTGCTCTCACCATCGATGAATACTTCAAAATTGGAAGAAAAGAAACTTTGGTTATCCCTTGTTCCAATGGACTTTTAAACTTTAAATGAGAAAACCCACTGTTATATATTTTTTATCCGCCTTGAAATTAGAAATTGAAAAACATTGGCTTTTCACAATATGAACTATAGGTTCAAATAAGAGTGTATGTGCTGTTTGACGATATCTTACCATTCATTTTTAATTATGTATTCTCATAAATACATAATTATAATATTGAAGTTATTTTTTTTAGCTATATATTTTTGAGAATAAATAATTAAAAAATGGTTACAGAAATAAATAGTACCATTCCTGAAACATTCTCGTAACATGATTCTTATATTTCTGTTTAAATAATCTGGTTAAGTGGACAAATGTGAAAGACTGACAGCTAAGATAAAAAGTTAATTTTTCAATAAAATGAACAAGAAATTAGAATGTCACATTCAATTAAATAACTTGCGTGTTGACATCTATGATGCACGGACACTGACACGGGACACGACACGATACGACACGCCGACACGTTAATTCTAAAAAATGTCATATTTTGATACGTTGGGACACGTTTTGATATTAAATAAAAATTTTAATATATATAATATAATTTATATTTAATACATATAAGAGTCTATAATAAGTCATATAACCAATCAGATATTTAAATTTCATAACATAAATATAAATAAAAATAATTTTTCGTACTTTGTTAATTTTTCATGTCAAATTTCATAATAGAAAAAAATTAATTTATAAATTATTTTTTTATATTTAGTTAATAAAATAAAATTAACATTAAAAAAAACACGTGTCTGAGCGTGTTTTAGCGTGTCCGAGTGTTGACCGCGTGTCCAAAAAAATTGATTGCGTATCGGAAAAATGTGTCAGAACGTGTCCCCAAATATTGACCGCGTGTCGGACGCGTGTCCGAGCATGTCCGTCACGCAAAATTTAAAAATTTTCCGTGTCCGTGCTTCAGTGGTTGACATTATATAATTCTAATAATACCACAGCACAAGCTAGCAAAAATAAACCAGTGGGTATTCCCATACAAGTATGTGACTGGTTGAAATCTCACTCTTCGTGCTGCTATTGCATTTTTTTCCATGTTTTTTTATGGGCTTTATTAGTCTTCGTTTACATAAGATAATTATTTTATATTGTAAAGATAAAATGGATGGGTCTCACCATTACAAGAAAAAAAAGTTGATGTGCGAAAATCAAAGTGAGAGAAATTATCTTATGTAAAAGAAGGGTAATATTTTTCTTTTTTTTATATAAGTTAAAGGCTTTAATATTTCTACCGTGAATGTAGATAAGTTATTTACATTCGCTTCTAAAACGATATCATTTTGGGTTAAAAAATTAAAAAATTATAATAAAAAAGACTATTATAATCATAAAATAAATTATAATAACAAAAATACCTTGATTTTTGCCTCAAAACGATGTCGCTTTGGGCTCAATATAGATAAGTTATCTACATTGACTGCAGAAAAAGCAAACCCTAAGTTAAACGTGTAAAATTTAACTGTATAATTCTGTTTTTAATTTTCAGAGGACGTAAATGGACGTTGAGTAGAAGCTATAATTTTTTCTTTTTCTTTTAAGAGTTAGAGGTGTCAAAATAATAATAAAAATGTCAGCCTAATGTTAAAAATTTGACTTAAGATGACTTGACCCAATTTGACAAAACCAAAACAAGACTGAACTGAAAATGGAAAAATCAGTTCAGAATCCAAAACATGTCATAATTAACTCTTATAATTATCAAATTCTTTTTTTAAAAAACTAATTTGACTGAAATATTATAATTTTTTTTTATCTAATTAATTAAACAATATATACTTTTAAATATTTAAATTTAAAACACAAGTTAACTAAATGAATTATTTAAATTTAATATTTAATATCTTGATTATTGTTTTGTCTTAGAGACAGAGATGTCCAGCCCAATAGACTGGTATGTTAATCTTGGATCTAGTGCCCTCTCCCAGGTATCTATGAAGAAGATATCTTTGAGTCAAGCAGATCACTATGCACAATGAACTAATAACGACATTTGCCAATGAAGTGTGTGTGTGCACCGTGACAGCATAACAGTAAGGGAGAGAGTGTAACATACCTTTAGGGTTTACCTTTTATTTATAGAGGTTACCTGTGGGTAGTATGATGTGGACCTTTAGTACCTCCGATGAGGGCCCAGGCCTGTCCGCTACGCTGTCGTATTAGGATTAGTATCCTTGATGGATACTATCCGCAATTATACTTGATTTGAATATTGGATTGCCCCTTATTGGGCCTACGATTCAATGGGCCATTTATACGGGTCCATAACAGTTGCCCCTCAGCCAGGCTACCTGGGTTTCCGAGTTGTCGGGGTGAATTTCCTTGCATTTTGCTTCAGGTTTTTCTGCTGAGCTGAGAGAGTTTGATTTTTTGTAACCTCTTTGCATACGTGTTCCTTATTTATCAGGATTTTCAACTAGGATCCTTATCGCCTCTTATCTCGGCGGGTTTGAGCATAAACTAGGAAAAATATTTCACGTATTCCCATACCGAGTTAGGGATGAGCTTGAGTAGTTGGGACCCAACTGGCGAGTTTCCCCAAGCA